CTGCTGAGCTTTTCCAGCAGTTTCTGTTTGTATTAAATAATTTAATTGCTGTTTGTACTGACACTGTCTTTTTGCCAGACTACGTACATCATCAGTTCTTTTAATGGCATTTCTTTGCTTCCAAAATAGAATATTCACCACAAACCAACATCCAGTCAACCATTTCAACTCCCCCTCCCATTCCTCATATGACATGTCCATCCTGGGCCTCCTGCAGTGCCACAATGATGCCACCCGAAGGTTGCAGGAACAGCACCTCATATTCCGCTTGGGAACCCTGCAGCCCAATGGTATCAATGTGGATTTCACAAACTTCAAAATCTCCCCTCCCCCTACCGCATCCCAAAACCAGCCCAGCTCGTCCCCACCTCCCTAATCTGTTCTTCCTCCCACCTATCCCCTCCTCCCACCCCAAGCCCCACCCCCATCTCCTACCTACTAACCTCATCCCGCCCCCTTGACCTGTCCATCCTCCCTGGACTGACCTATCTCCTCCCTAACTCCCCACCTACACTCACCTTTACTGGCTCCATCCCCGCCTCTTCGACCTGTTTGTTTCCTCTCCACCTACCTTCTCCTCTATCCCTCTTCTATCCGCCTCCCACTCTCTCCCTATTTATTTCAGAACCCCCTTCCCCTCCCCCTTTTCTGATGAAGTGTCTAGGCCCGAAACGTCAGCCTCTCTGCTCCTATGATGCTGCTTGGCCTGCTGTGTTCATCCAGCCCTGCACCTTGTTGTCTCGGATTCTCCAGCATCTGCAGTTCCTACTATCTCCTAAATTAATCTAGCCTATTTGGCAGCATTTGGCCCAAAGCCCTCTAAACCCTCCCTATTCATGTATCCATGCAGATGCTTTTTAAATGTTGTAATTGTACAATCCTCCATCACTTCCTCTGGCAGCTCATTCCATACACGCACCACCCTCTGTGTGAAAAAGTTGCCCCTTAGGCCCCTTTCAAATCTTTCCCCTCTCACCATAAACCTATGCCCTCTGGTTTTGGGCTCCCCTACCTTGGGGAAAAGACCTTGGTTATTTATCCTATCCATGCCCCTCATAATTTTATAAACGTCTATAAGGTCACCCCTCAGCCTCTGATGTTCCAGGGAAAATAGCCCCAGCCTATTCAGCCTGTCCCTATAGCTCAAACCCTCCAACCCTGGCAACATCCTTCTAAACCTTTCCTGAACCCTTTCAAGTTTAACAACATCTTTCCTGTAGCAGGGAGACCAGAATTGAACACAGTATTCCAAAAGAGGCCTAACCAATGTCCTGTACAACTGCGCATGTCCTCCTAACTCCTATACTCAATGCACTGACCAATAAAGGCAAATAAAGGTACCAAACATCTTCTTCACTACCCTGTCTACCTCAACAAACAAAGAAGACCATCCAATCATTCAGCTCATTGTTGTCAATTGGAATCTTACTGTACACAATTTGTTTGCCTTGTTTCTTACAAACATACAAATTGGAAGCAGTACTAAACCATTCAGCCCTTCCAAGTCTTCTCAACATGCCATCACAGTTACACTTCAAGAGTATCTCATCAACTGTGAAGATCTTTTGGACATCCTGATGTGTTGAAAGGCCCACAGTTCTTCCTTTGGTTTGCCACAAATTACAAAGGAGTATGACTTTGAATTTACCATTTGGGTGAGAAACCATTGTTGTGAACCTGTGACCTTTTCTGCCAGCAGTGGGCTGGAACTAGATACCAAGATCAGTGTGGATTGGGAACGAGGAGATGATTCTTGGAATGATATCCAGGTAAGTATTCAACTTGGAAACCATCCAAATTGTAGCTGAGGCTCCCCCCCAATGATAGCCAATTCACAGATTCACAGCATCCTGGGAGAGATACCGTGTGGAATAAATACAATTACAAAAACGCTTGTCCTGATGTGTGGCTTACACCTGTCATTGTCTTATACCTTTGTCCTGATCTCTGAATTACTCGTCGAAATAAAGGGCCTAACGTGTGGTGAAAGGGGAGATTTATGTGTTGTCTGACCAATTGTACCAGGGCAAACCTGGTCCACGGTACAAAGTGGGTTATTAAATAACAGGCTCAAAATGGATGGTCTGGATTAGGATTAATTGAATGTCCTTCATTCACAGCCTGTTCGGACAAACACAATTTGCTTCCAGTCAATACAAGCTGGACCACAAATTGAGTTTTGTTCACAAAATGTAGGTAATTTTTACCAACGTGACAACCTGATTCATGAAGACTAACAAACAGAGTTTGCACAAAAAGGGATGCTGAGAGAGATAAAGAGGGGGAGAGAGAGTGAGAGGAGGCAGGAAAGATAACATGAAAATGAAAGTCATATGTGAAGGCTGAAATAAAAACAGTTCTGAGGAAGGGTCACAGGACCTGAAACATTAACTCTGATTTCTCTTCACAGATACCTGCTGAGTCAGACCTGCTGAGCTTTTCCAGCAACTTATGAGTTTTTGCTTTTGTTTCTGATTTACAGCATCGATAGTTCTTTCAGTTTTTACTCTTCAGAAGTGTAGGGGTTAGGATTCTTCTGATTGATGCTCAGAAAGTTCAGTACCCCGGCACCATGTGCATAAGACATTAAAGGTAACAGGACAGGTAGGGAGTGTTGTTAATAAAGTATACAGTATCCTAGGTTTCATTAATAGATGCATATTGTATAAGAGCAAGGATGAACCTAGATAAGACACTGGCTAGTCCTCACCTGTAGTTTTGTGTACAGTTCAATGTGCACACTCAGGAATGATGTCATAGAATAGAATCATAGAACCCTGCAATGTGGAAACAGGACCTTCGGCCCAATTAGTCCACACCAACCCTCAGAGCATCCCACCCAGACCCATCCCCCTATAACCCACCTAATCTACACATCCCTGAACACTATGGGCAATTTAGCATGGCCAATCCACCTAGTCTGCACATCTTTGGACTGTGGGAGGAAAACCAGAGCACCCTGAGGTAACCCATGGAGACATAGGAAGAATGTGCAAACTCCACACAGACAGTCGCCCAAGGGTCAAATCGAACCTGGGTCCCTGCTGCTGTGAGGGAGCAGTGCTAACCACTGAGCCACTGCGCTGCCCATTGCCCATATGAACACGTTGGAGACAGTGCTGAATAAGTTTTAGAAGAATGGTTCCAGGGATGGGAAACCTCATTGTGAAGACAGATTGCAGAAGTTGGAACATTTTTCCTTGGAGAGGAGAAGGTGATGAGTGGTTTTTATTTTCACATTATGACATGCCTGTGCAGAAACCATTCCCTCTCCTAAACAGGCTTAAGAATCGGAGGCATAGAATTAAAAAGATTTCCACACAGAACTTCAAAAGATTCTGGAATGCAATGCTTGGAAAGTATCATGGAGGCAGATTCGATTGAGACTTTCAAGAGGGCTTTGGATGTTTATGTAAACATAATAATGCACAAAGTTAAGGGAAAATATCAGGAGAGTGGCATTATGGCATATAATGTGGGAAACTGTGAATTCACCCTTTTTTGGCAGGAAAAATGAAAGAGAAGCATATTATGTAAGTAGAGAGAGATTTCAAAGCATTGAGATGCAGAGGGATCTGGACATCTTAGTGAAAGAATCACAAAACATTAGTATGCAGGTACAGCAAGTAATAAGTAAGGCTAATAGAATGTTATCATTTGTTGAGAAGGGAATTGAATAGTGAAGAAAAGAGATTATGTTTCTGTTATAGTGGACGCTGATAAAACCTCATCTGGAATATTTTGCATAGTATCAATCGTTCGATTTAAAGAAGTAGACTATGTAAATGCATTGGAAGCAGTATAGAGAAGGCTCAGGTGGGTTGCAACACTGAGGACAGTGGGTTACATCGGGGCCTAATAACTATGGTCCAGGTCTCTAATGGGCCCACTGCACACAATTTGCAATGCTCAGGTTGGGGATGGGAGGTGTGTCCAAGAGCACAGGCCAGGAACAGCACTGCAGTCCATGGTATCTGTCGGTTGTCTTCTGAGGAAAGATTGGACAGGCTAGACTTGTATCCAGTGGAGTTCAGAGGAGGAACAGGCAACTTGGTTGAAACATATAAGATCCTGACAGGTCCTGACAGGGTGGACGTGGAGAGGAGCGTTCCTCTTGTGTGAGAATCTACAACTGGGCGGGGAGGGTGGGGTGGGGGGGGCCCTGTTTAAAAATAAGGAGTTGCTCATTTAATATGGAGATGAGGTATATTCTTTCTCTCGGGGAGTCGCTAGAACTCTCCCCCTGAAAAGGAGGTGGAAGAAGAGTCTTTAAATATTTCTAAGGCAGTGGTAGATAGATTCTTAGAAAGTGATGGGGGCGAAGGATTATTGAGGCTGGATGGGAATGTGGGTTTGCAGTTCAAGCCATAGTCTTATTGAATGACAGAGTAGGCTCGAGGGGCTGAATGGCATCCTCCAGGTCCTGATTCATAGGTTCATGTGTTCATATTTGCACTGACTCCATTACCAGTAATTACCATCACCATCAACTACCATTATCATTGACAACTATTCTCACCATGACCATTACCATTACCACTGACCCCATTATCATTGACAACTATTCTCACCATGACCATTACTATTACCACTGACCCCATTATCATTGACAACCATTCCCACCATGACCATTACTATTACCAC